AGAGGCTCCTCCATCAACCATCATCTTGGACATCGGCTTCCCGTTGACAAATCCATTGATATACAATGGCTTGAGATGCCGATTCTCTATCCCCTCCGACTTCTCAAAAATCGCCTGTTCCGGTGACAACACCAGTCTAGCAGATGCCTCTTCAACATCATCAACATCGGCTTGCCTAGCTTCAAATTCGGCAGGTAGCATAAACACCATGTTTACCGATGCAGATGCAGTAGCGTTACCCTTGAGCAATCTTTTTGCTTTGTCAGCTTCAACTTCATCGGCTGTTGTGACCGTGCTCTTAACACGCCACTCCTGCTTGGTCTTTGTTTTCTTCAGCCGATGGCTGATCTCCTGTTGCACCTCCTGAAGACGTTCTCTATTCCTTATTCTCTGAACCCTTCTTTTCTGATTTTTGGTGAAAATACCAGAAGGACACCATTGAGTCTTCCTACCCTCATCTTCATCCTGGTAGCAGTCTTGATTAACTGGACCCAATCTCAGATGAACAGACACCCTTCTCTGACTCGGCCGATTACTCCCGCTGTAGGATCGGCTTGAACTCCCTATATTATCACTGCACCCAGGGCAATCTTCGATCGATGGTAGCCTCATGCCTTCATTCCAACAGAATCTGAAGAAGTCACAGTCCCAAAGAGGATCAAACCCACCATCATCTTCCTTGAAATATCTTTCCTGCTGCTTATCATGCCTCTTCTGATACTTGTTGATAATTCTAGCTGAATTTAACTGAAAATTCCGACTCTTCCCTCCATCGGCTGTCCTTCCAGATGTATGCACCATGTTAACAGGGAAATGATTACCATCAACCTTCATCGGCTTCTTTGAATCATCAAATTTAATCTTCCCTCCCTCAATGGCCACCTGGATCTGCTGTCTGAAAACTTTGCAATCATTAGTAGAATGAGAACCAGAATTATGCCACTTGCAATACCTCCTCTTGCCTAATTCTTCAGCCGATGGGATTATATGACCAGCAGGAAGTTGAATCTGTTTCTCCCGAAGCAACAAATCGAAAATCTTATCAGCCTTGGTGATGTCAAAGTCAAATCTTTCCTCTTTCCCAGAACTCCTCACCCATGGGCATGGCACAACTTTCTTACTCCTGACCCACTCGGCTGCTGCTACTTCGGAATCATCCTCTTCATCAAAATCATACATATAAGGATATACATGATTGATCTTCTTGAAACTCTTCTTAGCTTCTGCAAATCTTTGTTCATGCAAGGTTACCTTCTGTGCGAGATGGGATAAGCTCTCGAATTCCTGAGATGAAAATTTCTCCTTGATCAGAGCTATCAAACCCTGAAAAACCAGATCGGCTAACTGAGAATCTGTCAGAGCCAAACTGTAGCACCTATTCCTCATCTCCCTGAATCTCTGAATATAATCCTGCACAGATTCATCATGCCTTTGCCTTATTGTTGTCTGGTCAAATAGTTTCATCTCATGAACCCCACTATAAAAATAGCTGTGAAACTGTTTCTCCAAATCGGCCCAACTATTGACAGAATTGTATGGCAAAGAAGAAAACCATGTGAATGCCGATCCGGACAAGGACAGAGGAAACAGCCTAACTCTTAGGGCGTCAACAGCCGATACCTCACCACATTGAGCCAGAAATCGGCTGACATGCTCATTTATCGAAACATTGTCTTGCCATAAAAATTTTGAGAAGTCTGGTACCTTGTATCGGCTAGGCAATGGAACCCTTTCAAACCACTCAGGGTATGGGTGCCGATACAGGTTTCCAGTGTCTTTCGGCTTAAGCCCAAACTGCTCTCTCATCACATCTGCAATCATATCAGCCCATGGCCTTTGCTGAGGTACTCCATGCGTCTGTTGCTGTATCGGCTCAAACTGATTAAACTGAGGAGCAAATTGGGGTGTTAATGACCAAATTTGGTAATTTGAGTATCGGAGATGAAGATTAGATCAAAGCGGAATCTGAGACGAAGATCGTTCCGGAAATAGAGCAAGAATCGGCTAAGTCCGAATCGGCTGCGACCTTAATCGGCAGAGTTCGAGTCGGGCAAGGTTAGCCGATTGAGCCGATTCCGACAATATAACTCGGTACACGTTGCCGGGTTGAGTTAATGTGCTTCATATGGATTGCCACAATCGGATTGAGTCCTGAAAAGGCAATTGTATCTATTAATTAGGATATTTTGTGTAATTTCCTTACAGATAAGTGTGGGCAAAAGTTTGCCGCAAAGACTTATGGTATTTTAGAGTTTATTAGAGATAAGAGTCGTGTCCGACAAGGACATATTTTGTAATCTCGGGTATAAATAGACCCCGAGCCCCATGTAATAAAACAACACACGTTCAAATACAATCTCGGCACATCACCACCCTTTTACTTTCGTTTGTTTTCGACGAGTTTTTGCTTTCGGGTTGAGCTGCATCGGTTTCGATCTTCAACTAGAGGTAAAACTTGTTATGGTGGCTTGCGTTCTCGGGATTAGTGCTTCCATCATTATGATACTCTAATCTTGTCTATGTAAGTTGTCGAGTTATCATATACCTTATATAATCTCTGTCAATATCATTATCTAACCCTCAATCGGCTAACATCTATCGCTAGAAGATAGCCGATCGGGTTAGATACCGATGTTGACTTAGATTATATAGGATATCTACCACTCTATGAAACTTCTGACGGCTTGATTGTCTAGATATTGTCTTTCTTTTCATACTTATAGCTACATCAGTTGAGTTTGACCTTATAAGTCGTGATTAGAATCGCAATCTCTAGCCTGTCTTTGGTTGCCGATTAGGGTAGTATCGGGGTTTCAGCCGATCTTAACAGATTTAGCCTTATATTTCATGTGCTTAATTGATATGCTAGATATGCCCTTTATGTTAAGATCTTATTGCTTTTAGGTATATTAAGCTTCCTGTTTGATATATTTTACTTGCTTTGGTATCTTAATATAGAGTGGTATCGGAGTATTAGCCGATACACGCTAGATCTATCTGATCGGCTATGCTGTGAATGATTATAGTTTCCTTGTTAATATATATTTTGGTCTAAGTGATTTATACTGTCTCGGCATGGCGACCGATCTATCCCAATCACTTGATTTAAGTATATATCGACATAAAGATTATATATCATTGATATCTATAGTCAATCGAATAGATTTAGTTCCTTTATTATCGTCTCGCACAGCAGATCGATGCAAAGATGACATCGGCTCAAGTATAAATGATATGTCATCGGCAGCTGGCCGATCGGCTATCATTTATGGATTTAACTGTTATTTTCTTTCTTTGTTTCTTGTTGATTGCAGGATCAAATCAACTGGCCCGCTCAACGAATCTTAAGGCAAGCTTTTTGGACCTGCACTGGAGTTAAGCAGATCTCCCAGGCCACGTGTTTTCGCATCAACATAGGGCTGAGGCGATCTTGTTTGCTGGTACTGGACATGAGGTGACGAAGGCTGGTGCTGATAATTCAGATTACCTCCTTGATAATTTTGAAAGTTTGGCTGAATATTACTGTAACACCCTGAAAATTTCTGTCCTGATTTGCGAAATTAAAATTTCATGTTAATCAAAAATCTTTTCCAAAATCCATCATGCTGGCTTTATTTGATTCTATCTCCCATTTTTCGGTTACGCTTGGACCATGAGGACGGAAATCTAGAAACAAAATCTATTTTTGATTCAAATATTATTTGCTAAAAGAACCATGATTATGAAATATATTAATTTAGAAAATGTTTGCAAATGCCATTTGTCTTTCTGAAAACCCTTTTCTATGAAAGAGAACCCATTTGATGTATTTGTTTTATAAATGAAAACAAATACTAGATATTTAGAAAACATACTTTGAGAGATATTTTCCGAGAAAACTATTTTTGCAAATGAGGGCTAATTTTAGTTAACTTCTGAAAACCCTATTTTGAAATTATAAGTGTTTGGAAATTATTTTACAAATAAGGAATTTACTAGCAAAACTCTATTTACGAACTAAAATCTTAAAAGAGTTTATTTCAAAAGAATTCACGGAAAAGCCTAGTTTTCTTCCTTGAAAGGCCTAGCTGACCTGCATAATGGGATTTGCGTTAATTGTGTGCATTTGTATGTTTGTGCCAAAGATTTCGGTTAAACCGTCCTTGTGAATCTCAATCCTTGTCATAATTCCTTCGGATTCGAATTCCGTAGCTCAATCCTCCTTCATCAAACCCCTCCCGAACCAATTGTTCGAATATCACGAAATACTCGAACCCAGTAGTTCTTTCAGAATCACCTCATAGGGCAAAATCCTTTCGCTGTCCTCTCAACCCTCCTAGTCAATTGCAATGCAGCATTCTTCCCTTGAATCGTTAGAATACCACGATTAAATCGATTCACCTAAAGGATGTCCTCCGATCAACGTCCTTCTTTTTCGCTAAATGCTCCGAAGCTAAGCGAAACGAAACCCTAAAATCCTCCCCTTGTCACAGCATTGTTGCTTTTCCCAAACCCTTGGAACCATGCTTTTGAATCGAGACTCGCTTCGTCTTTTCGACTCGGCCTCCCTCGGATTCCATTCTCCCCTATTCCTTCTACTTAAAATCCCCGAGTTCATCCATTCGCTTGAAACTCTAAAATCGCTTGACGTATTTAAAGGTCGTGCGTCGACCCGTATATCCTTGATTCCATCTCTACCCTTGAAAACTCTAGAATCGTTCGCCGAAGTCGAATGCTGTGCATTGATCCAAACGTCGACGATATCGTCTCTACCTTTGAAACCCTACCTCGTCGAATGGTTTTGTATACCATATGCCGCTCCTAAACCTATCGTCTATATCGTCCGTACTGTTGAAACCTTACCGCGTCGCATGGATTTTTATGCCAAGCGTCGTTTCTAAAATCCGTCGATATCGTCATCTTTTCATTCAAGCGGTCGCAAAGAAAACCTAAGTTAAATACTTGGGCGACTGAGCGGCCAAACCAAATCCCATTCAAATACCCCAATTAAACTGTTCTTATTTAGTTCCAAACCCCAATTCCATATTTCAATCCCAGCTCAAAGCCGAATGTCCAATTATACAGTCCAATTACAGTTATACACTCCCATTACATGTTTGGGGTCCATCTACAAAATTCCAATTACAATGGGGATGTACAAATTCCTTGCTACAGTTATACAAAGTATCCTTTTACACTTGTGCCACCTCTCTCTCGCTCTGCCAACCCAACAGCTCATCACAGCCTAAGTCCATCCTGCCTCCCTTTCCCTCATTCCAGCCCAAGTCTGTTTCCACCCCCTTCCTTACCTCAGCTGGCCCAGCTGCCCTTCCTCCTTCCTCCTCCCAGCCAGGTTCACATGCCCACCACGTGTTCGACAAAATGTTGAGCCGGGTGAGCACTGTGCTGAGCCGCGCCGCCTTGCATCAGTCGGCAACCACGCCGTTGCACCGTGCCAGCCGCGCCGTGCACCGAGTCGCGCCTCCGTGCGCCGCAGCGATGCACGCCGCGCACCGCGTCCATCCTTGGCGCCACCATATCTGTACACCGAGCAAGGTCGCTCGTTCCTCCATTCCTGCAAGCACCCAGTCCACCAAATCCCTCCCCAAACACCGAAGAAGCAGTGAGGATGGCTCACACCGAAAGAAAGAACTGAGTTCACACCGAATGGGAGAGCAAGTTCGCAGTGAAGCTTACCTTGTAAGCCTCCCCCCCTGTGGCGATGTCGACATCCTGGCCCACCTCATCGCCGTCCATCCCATCCGCCGCCGACACGTGCTCCGGGGCAGCCTAGTGACCGATGGTCACTTCGCCGCCACCCAGGCCGTCGCCTGTGCGTGCGCCGCTACTCCCAGTCCACACCGCTCGTCCCTGTTCTTCACTGCTCACAGACGAGCGTCCACGCCGCCCGCGTGAGCTGCGTCCACGCCGCCGCATCGCCACTGTGCCGTTCCTTATCCTCGAAGCCTCGCTCTATTCCTTATCCTCGAAGCCATCCACAATCAAGCAAAAACTATGGCTACCAGAGTTGCCATGCCCAACCATTCCTCCTCCATCCTCGCCCTTCGATCCCCGCCACCATCATCCTGCTCGCGCCGGCCCGAGGCGCACGGACGAGCACCTTGAGTGCGCTCCAAGCCGTGCGGCCCGGACCCTGCGCGCCGTCAACTTTGTCACGGCCACCTCTGCTTCATCCTTCCAAGCCGCTCGTCGCCTTCACCTCCCCGCACCGTCTCCGCTGCCGCCGCGCACGGCCAGGCCGACCCCGAGCGAGTGCTGCCTCCACGGCCACACCGGCCGCGCGAGCAGCTTACACGGCCGCCTCTGTCTCCGCCCAGCCGAGGAACCACTGCGACCTCCGCCACCCTCATCGCCTTGATCCGGGTCGCCGCCGCTCCGGGTGGAACGCCGCCCGCGCGCGACCAGATCGGCCCGCACAGGCGCCACCTCCGGCCCTTTTGCGTGGCCGCGTCCCTGCACCGGGACGAGCGCCCCCAGCCGCGGCCTCCTCACGCCCATCGGCGTCGCCGTCGCATCGGCCGCCGTCGCCGCCGGTTTCCTCCCTTCGCCACCGGCGCCCGACCACCTCCTACCTGGTGCAGCTCCCTCATCTCCCTCCTCCGCCAACGCCACCTCTCTGCATCGCCTCCCGGCCGCGCACCCGCCTGGCCGCCGTGCCGCGCCGTCACCCCAGCTGCGCGCTTGGATGCGCTGGCCCGGCAGGGGTGCTGCCTCCTGCCGCGCCGCCCGGCCTAAGCCGCCAGCTCCCCGGTCTCCTCCCCGGCGCGCGCCCTGCGGCAGCCCACCATCGCCGGCGCCTTTCGTCTCTGGGGCGTGCGTGAGAGAGCAGAGAGAAGAGGAGGAAGAATCGAGAGAAACAGAGCCGTGAGGAGGAGAAGCCGAGAGTAGTTAAGAGAGAGAAGGAGAGAAAAGAAAGGAGAAAAAGGATCGTGGGACCCACCAGTGGAGCCCACAGTGTTGACTCCTCACGTGAGTCTATTTTACCTCCCTCTTACACCCCCGGACAGAGCCCACCTTTCAGCTTCTGTATCCACCAAAAGTTCATGTTGCTTCCCTATGTAACCCAAGCTTCTCTCTGGAAGTTTGCTATACGTCCCTATCCGACCTCCTGTATCCTTGGGATGAAGCCCAAGCTCACCCAAGGATAAGTCCATTGTACCTCCTCCAGTCCAGAGGGTACCCATGGGGATATTTCCTTCAAAATAAAAGGAATCCTATTTTGGGTATCCTTCTCCCCTTGATCTATAAATCCTATAAAATTTGGGGATTCATATCTTTCCAACCGTGACTCCGATTGATTCCGTTCAACTTTCGGAATTCTTCTAAAATCGAGATCTATCCAATGGCATTACCAGTTTGAATTGTTTGGTACTTTTATTGAAGAATGTTATTTGGTTTTCTCGTACTAACTGCGTATCGAATATTCCGGTTATTCGTCAAACGTGGATTTCTTGAAGATACCGGTTTCTAAAAGCAAGGCAAGTCACTACGCTCTCTTCCTTGAGCATATTGAACCCAGTTTATAAATGTTTTGTTTATAAATAAACTTGCATGCTAATTATAAATTGCGTACCTAAATTTGTATGTGAACCATCCTTGATATTGTTACCTTTATTATATTGTCACGCCCGGAATTTCTATCCAAAATTCCAAACGCTTACATGTGTGTGAACCCTCGTCCAGGAATCAGCCGAGGCACACAATAACAAATTGATAATAGAGTACAAATATTACTCTAATTAATAAGCGAATAAAATGTCATTACAGAGGTAGATAGTTCCTCTCAATCAATAAAGATCTAAGCAGCGGAAAATAAATAAACGGCGCAGACGGCTCCACTCCACAGGCAGCTTGACCAAGGCTACTCCTAATCCTCCACACCATCAGCCTCATTGTAGAACTCTTCCTCTGATGAATGATTGCAAGGTGAGTATATGACATACTCAGCAAGCCACGCAGCAAATATGCAAGTGCACAGGATAACAAAGGATGGCATAATAGGGTTGCATTTGCAAAAGCAGCATTTAGCAAACATTTGAGAATTTGATAAAACAGTTAAGTAATTAAACAATATTAATCCAACGCTATACAACATACCCTGTTGTATAGGCCCAACCATTCTGAACAACCACCCCGGCTACACAGTTCTATCTCCAAACCAGGAATATACCATTCCAAACCAGGAGCTAATCAAATTATTACCAGTTTAAGCATCTTTTACTATGATGAGAGGTGTGAGACTAATCACGAAAGACATTGTTAGACCCTCCCATAACCGCGGGCACGGCTATTCGAATAGTTTTACTCTGATCAGAGGTGTACCACTGTACCCACAAGACACAACCCCACATCATGTCACCATGTGCCTCAATACCACCACGGTATCTCGGAAAGGAGTTGTGACAATACCCCTCGCATAACACAATCCACTGCAGCGCACCTTCCTGGATCATAATCACCCCCTTATAAACAAGGCATGGACTCCCCAGCGACCCCCGTGGGCTTATCTCCGCCACTTCTCAGTCTGGTGCCCCGCAATGAACCATGCTATACAAAAGATAAAGCCGTTGCCCATGCTGGCTTGTGGTTGGCACGGTTAATGTTTCACAACCGAAACTCGTGAACCGGTCCTTAATTGTCATGAGCACGACCAACAAAACCATGTGCTCACAACCCACCATTACCAGGTTTTAGTTGGCACATTAATTAATTAACTAATCACGATTGACCATCGTGAACTGTCATGAAACCATCATTAAATAATAGTGAGTCATTAGTTATCCCGAATGTGTACTAATGTTTCTAAGCAGGGCTAAGCAATTATACCTAATATCTAGTTGAACCAATATAAATAAAGCTCAACTAGTCAAATTGTAATAACCCAAGGTATCAAAGAATAAGGTAATCAAGTACGAAAGGGCCATAACAAAGAATAGGTCAATTCCACCCAATGACATTCGAAAATAGATGCAATAGTTGAATAGAAACAATAGCTTTAAATAGGATCAACATGCTCAAAGGGTTGTTTGGGATCTGTGTGACTTGCCTTGCTGGCCTTGGAACTCTTCAAACTCTTCTTCTGCGAAAACGGACTCTCCGGAAACGACGGAATCTAAGCAGAAAAGAGCAAAATCACCAAAACAGCACATAAACAAGCATGAACAGTACATGTGGATATTTTTAAAGTGTAAATCTCAATTTTAGAAAAATTTAGAGACTTGAACCAACTAAATCGGAGCTAAGATGAATTAGTTATGAATTTTTAAAGATTAAATCGGATTAAAACACTTATATCGGTTAAAATTGAATTATGACGCAATAATGAATTATTTTTGAAAAGGAAAAGAGGGTTTATTGCGTCAGCGGGCTAGGGTTTGGTGGACCGGGCGCACGGGCGGCGGTTCACACGAACGGACGGCCGAGATCGAACCAATCCAAAACGGACGGCCGAGATCGATCGGGTCCACGGCGGCTCACGGCGGACGACCCCGATAACGTCGGCAATGACGTCACCGACAGCGGCGGCGGCTCGGGCGGCGCACGCTCGCCGGCGAACGGCGGCGCGAGGACGCAAACGGAGGGCACCAGCACGTAGAGGACGACGCGGCGAACACACCGGTGACCAAAACGGCGGCGGAAGAACAACGAACGACGACGGCGACGAGGAGGAAGCGGCGGGAACCTTCGGGTCGACGACGGCGATGCTGCTCCGGTGATCTCCAGCGACGGCGAAGGGGCGGACGAGGACGGCGACAACTAGGCGAGCACGACGGTGGTCTTCCCGAGCGACGGCGACGGCTGAAACGACGGCGGCGCACGGCTGGAGCGGCGGCGGCGACGGCGAAGCTAGGGCACACGGCGCTAGAGCGATTCCGACGACTAGAGGCGAAGGCAAGGGTGGCGACGGGTAGAGGAGACACCGGGGGTCCTTTTAAAGGGGCTCGGAGGCGGCGGCTGTCACGCCCGGAAATTCACTAGTAATTTCCGAACTTATTTGTGCATAAAATCCTCGTCCAGGAATCAGCCGAGGTACACAAACTGACAATTTAATATACAAATCCATCATAATAATAACGTTACATACTTACAAAAGAAAAGAAAACAGCAGCGGAATAACGATCTAGCGATGGCTTCAGCTCCACTCCCACAGGCAGCTCAACTGGGGTATAAGCCAAACGTCTTCTCCTTCTGGATCCTTTATCTTCAACTGAGGTTTGATTGATTATTGCAAGGTGAGCATATGACATACTCAGCAAGCCACACAGCAAATATGCAAGTGCACAAGGATACCAAAGGATGGCATAATATAGGCTCATTTGCAAAAGCAGCATTTAGCAAAACATTTAAGAGAAGTAAAACAGTGGAGTAATTAATCAGAAATTTTTAATCAACACTGAACAGCACACCCATGCTGCACAGGCCCAACCATCCTGAACAACCATACCCGGCTGTACAGATCTAACTCCAAACCAGGAGCTAAACAAATTATTACCAGTTATAACATCCATAATTATTGTGAGAGGTGTGAGACTAATCACGAAAAACATTGCTCAACCCGCCCATAACCGCGGGCACGGCTATTCGAATAGTTTTACTCTGGCCAGAGGTGTACCACTGTACCCACAAGACACAACCCCACATCATGTCACCATGTGCCTCAATACCACCACGGTACCTCGGAAAGGAGTTGTGACAATACCCCTTGCACAACATAACCCATTACAGCGCACCTTTCCTGGATCATAATCACCCCCTTATAAACAAGGCATGGACTCCCCAGCGACCCCCGTGGACTTCTCGCCACTTCTCAGTCTGGCGCACTATAATGAATCACGCTACACAAAAGATAAAGCCGTTGCCCACGCTGGCTTGTGGTTGGCACGATAAATGTTTCACAACAGTAGCTCGCGAACCGGTCCTTAATTGTCATGAGCACGACTCTCAAAACCATGTGCTCACAACCCACCATTATCAAGTTTTAGTTGGCAAGTAATTAATTAACCAATCACGATTAACCATCGTGAACTATCATTAAACCATCATTAAATAATAGTGAGTCATAAGTTATCCCATTAGTGTGCTAATGTTTCTAAGCATGGCTAAGCAACTATAAGTAACATCTAGCTGAACCAATCCAATATATAAGGTCCATGCTAGTCAAATTATAACCCATAGGAAAATAATGTCATCTTCGGCCATAATTAAATGGGAAAGGCTCACCACCCAATGACATTCGAAAACAATGCATAAGTTGAAATAAATCTATAGCTTTAAACAGGTTCAACATGCTCAAAGGGTTGTTTGGGATCTGTGTGACTTGCCTTGCAATAATCGGTCTTCAATTAATCTTCTTGAATACTTCCGGCGCACTCGCGAACCTTCGCAACGACGGAAACGATAAGCTAACACGCAAAACGAAGAAAAAGACTAATAAAAACCAAATAAACAGTACATATAAAGTAAACAAACATGTAGGTCATGATTTTAGATGAATTTAGCAACTTGAACCACTCAAAACCGAGTTATGATGATTTAGTTATGAATTTCCGAAGATTTAATCTATTAGAAAAAGGGAAAAGGAAAAGATGATGATGTCATGATGACGTCATCAATGGTGGCCGGCTCGGATGGCGACCTCGCCGGAGCTAGGGTGGTCGGCCGGGATTTTGGAGGACATCTATACATAGAGAACGACGAGACGAACCCAACGGTACTCACCCTCGTGCCAAACGACGACCGACGACGGCCGGCGACGAGGAGACGACGGCAAGCGGCGGCGACGGCGGAGGCGACGGAGCTACGGAGCACGAGAGACCACGGGAGAGGGGGCAAACGAAAGAGGAGGACTAGGGGGTCCTATTTATAGCCTTGGATTGAAGAGATCGGACTCCTCCCGCAAGAAA